AAGTGGCTGGGGAAAAAGTGCAGGGCTATCACCTGCAATTTTAGTGGGACATAAATCCCTGCACCATGGGGCACCCTCACCACAGCCCCCACTACCAGTTCTTGGCCTCCTTAAGAAAGTCTCAGTGTCTTCACCTTGCAAGTATCTTGCTAAACAAAGCCAAATTTCAGAACCTCGCTCCTGCTTCTGAAACTAGACTTTGCAGTATACAGGGGCCATAAATCATACACAATGCTAAGCACCCTAAAAATACCTGAGCAATGAATTTTAAGACAGTTTAAATATGACCTGACATCTTATTTCAGTACAATATTTTCTTCCATTTAATTATTATTTGAAGGTGAACTCAGCACCTACCTAAGGAAGTGCCTATGTAGGCATTTATGGTACATTTTTCTCAGGCTGTGAGACATATGAAACAGTGGCTTCACAAAGTTAGAATAGTGAATAAAAGGTATATCATGAAAAGCTTGGCTATCATCAGCCCACTTTCCCTGCTGATCTAGCAGGAGGGCTCTTTGGCAGCAAACGCTGCAGTACCTCCGAGAACAGATGGATCCATCCTACCTGAAATCCAGCAGAACCAAGGAGCCACATCACCAGGCACAGTGACCTGCTCATGGGTCATCCCAGACTATAGGGATGTTCCAGAGATACTGAGCATATATTTTTCACATGTTTGAAAGGCATCTGAAACACCCCTTGACAGGTTGAATAGCTGGCACATCACTTGTCATAAAGACCAGGATGCTCAGCTTTGCTTTCCCCTTCGAGGTTTGACAGATGGCTCTGTTATCTTAATTTTATACAGGGAGCCAGGGATTTATTTTTCCCTTTTATGTAAATATCTTACTCCCCTCACAGACACTGACACACCAGTGAGCTGCAGAAATAGGATTACACACTGCTTGTCCCGCTCTCCCCCATCTCAGTTGCTTATTTACCAAACAAGCCTCGTTAATCCTCTTTACTGTGTTTACTTCCCTCTTCCCTCTAGTCTTAGTGCCTTACTATTATTCAGGTACTTGCAGATGTTAAAAAAAGCTTCAGAGACAGTCACCTTCAGAGCTGGTTAAAATGAATATAATTCCACTGACTGTGTTTGAATCTGCATTGATTTACACAATAACAAGGTTTGTTAGAACTGCTGGCATTCATGGTGCACTTTTCCAAACCCAAAAATCACATAATACTGAAATAATCTGTTTTTCCTCCACCCCTCCACCCTGTGTTAGTTTATAGATTGTCTTTAGACCTTCTGCTCTTACTTCTTGATTACAGTCTTTTGGGGAAAGAGTGAGAATGGCAGGTTTTCACAGACAAAGACATGGTACAGAATTACTTGGAAGCATTCTAGATTTTGAAGCAGTTATTAATCTACTATTTCTATGTGTTACAGAAATCACTGGTTTTGCGATCACTTTTTATCCATGAAATGTATGGGAAAGTCCCACTGCTTACACTGAATCTGTCCTAGAAATCTACAAATGTCACAGATGGTGCTGAGTATTGCTAATTTTTTTCTGATGTGCTATGGAAAAGATTCTTAAAAGAAAAACTACATATTTTTTTAAAAGTTGAAATACCCCTCTTACACCAAGACCACAGAAAACAGTTATTCCTCCACTGCCAAACTGAGGATGCTTTCATTATGCAACCATGTTGCAGCACAACATAATAGCAGGTGTGGTCTCCTCTGGTGCTTGACCTCTGCAGCAGCACACACCTGTACCTGGTGTGCCAGTCATAGTGTCCAATGCTGCAGTCACCAGCAGCACACAGAGGAAATTTACAAGTTGCTTGAAGCACCTTTGAAATATCACTCCATAGTTATCTTCCCAAAAGTTCAACTTTGAGTTGAACTGAGTATTAAAGTTGATGAGTATTAAAGTTGATGGAAGCAACTTGGTGAAAATTCCCTTGTGGACCAGAGAGGCCAATTCCAATCACTGGGATGGATTTCAGCATTTCTTATGACCATTTCATATGGAAGAACCTGAGTATTTCCAGGGTAGATGCAGAGATGGAGGTAGTAGCACACTTGCTTGGTTCTGGTAGTTATTGTATACAAAGAAGTACCAATCCACTAGGCTGTATTTAATTACAAATTGCTTTAGTGCCTAAAGTTGGTGATACACTGAAGTTTTAGCTTTTATGAGGGAAAACAAACTACCCCAGAAGACATAGTTTATATATAGATTGAATGAAAACACAGTTGAGTTATGATACCTTGAGGTCACTACCTCTCTTCCTGCTACAGAAAAGCAGACATAAGAGAGTTTGACTGGGTCTGGCCCTTTGAAACCGGTAAATGAGATTTCAGCTTAAGCACAATAGGATTTTTCTTTTCCTTTTTGCTCCAAATTTGATTCTTATGAAAGTGAGGGATTAATACTACAAAGCCAGACTCAATGCAAATAAATCCCTGCCTGCACTTCCCTACTAAAGCATTTAACCCTTGTTACACTCTATAGCCAGAGGACTGCTGTTACTTCACTCTTCAGTGGAGGTAGGAGACAGATTTGTCAGAGGTGCTGCAGTGACAGAAGTCCCAGTTCCAGGAGATGAGCAGGAAGGAGGGCCCAGGAGGAGGAGGGCAGAGGAGAGCTGGTGGGATGAGGTATGAGGAAGGACAGGGCAGAGCATGGTTATGTAGCCCAAAGCTGGGAACACACTGGAGGAACTCTTGGCTTCAGCATCACCCAGATTAATCCCCTTACTCTTTCTCTAGTCAATTCTACCTTCCAGCAAAAAAAACAGAGTGAAGGATTTCTCACATTGGCTAAAGCCAATTCAGCTCAACAATATGTAATAATACTCTGTTGAAGCCAGAGATGCTTTTCATGTGAAGTGTCTGATCCTATATCCCAGCATTTATTGATAGATATCTTTTACAGTGGATCAAGAAACCTGAACTACTGGGGAATGCTGCCAGGCCCTTCAGGGCATTCTTTTAGCAGAACTGTCTTAGCAAGGACTCATTGATGAAAAGAAATGCTCTAGTTACCCTGTAAAATTATAATTAATATGATTTTCTTTCATAGCTGTCCATTCCACATCTGAGCAGTTTTCGGCTTAGCATTTGTCAGCAGTGTGAATGTCAAAAATAAGAAGATCTAAGAGGAATTTCCACTCTTCTCTGAGCCTAATGCCTATTCAAGCAGCTGACTGGTAGGTTGATATTCATACTGTTGACAAATAATGGGTGTCTTCATCAAGTAGTGGTATTATTTTGCACTGAAACGAAGCATGAGACTGTATGTGAATTCCCCAAACCTTTGCAAGGCAGCTCTAAATTTGTCTCTTTTAATTGAATTTCTGTTCCTCCCATCTATTGCTCCTATCTACCAGCATCACAGCAGATTTGAAAAGCAATTCCTCGTGAGGCACAAGTTGCCCTGGAGAGTTACTGCTCTCATACAAATATTTTGCAGCCTTGACACAAATCATTCACAATTTGGCAGTGGGTTGACAAATACAAATGAGCAGCAATGGTAGACCAGCAACTACAAGTGTGAGACTTTGCACTGTGCTACCAATTCAATTGGATGCCAAACTCAGTCCTCCAAAGATAATGTTTTGAAGTGCAGTTGCTAGAGTGAAAGTTTCCGGCTCCCCCAAAATAATAAACATTCATTTTAGCTAAAATAGAATAGCAAAAATACTGATGTAAATTTAATAAGAACTAAAATAGATACTTTCTCTTGGTGGAATTCTCCCTTTTTGATGCTCTTTCAAATCCTGCATAAATTTTTCAACAACCACAAAAAACACGTCCAATGCTTCACCGTTGTGATATCCCCACTGAGGCTCAACAAAAATCTTGCAATCACATTGCATGCACATAACATTTTCCATGAAAAGTATTTTCATTTATTTTCTTTTTTCCATCACTCCAAGATATTATCACTCAGAAAACATGAAATTGAAAAAAACTGTCATGTATTCCAAGTTGAAATTCAGATGTCACTGCAGAGTCTCATGAGAGCTTTGGATGGGAATCCTGCATTCTCTGCTGCAGGCTGGGTCTCCTGGATATGCTAATAGCTCCCAGCCAAGACCCTCCCAGTATAAAACAGTGACCCCACGAACACTCAGCTGTGGGATGTTGTCAGAGCCATACTATAAACAACAGAGGAGAAATGAACCTTCATCCACCTGGCCTACAATTTCCACAAATTACTTTCTCCACTAAATCAACACTTCGGACTTGCATTTGGAACCTTAAAATGGAAATGTTTAAGTTTTGACCTTTTCCAGCAGAAATATAAATTTTTATTTAAGTGAAGCAATTATTTTCACTCATATTTTTCTGTGTCTGAAGTCAATACCGCCTAACTACTCGAGGCCTAGGCAAGTGCAGCTATTGCAAAGACAGTGGGCTGAAAAGGCTACTACACACTGCGGTACATAGGCTTCACAGAGAGAAAAGGCTTTGAATTTCATCTATAGATTAAAATTTTGAAGCAAGAATAAATTAGAAGTATGGTTTCCAAATGAAAAACCACACATAGCACCATAGACTTTGAGTTATAAGGGTTTACATTAATGTGACATGCTAAAATTAGTAATGGACCTGGGCAAAGAATCTCACATCCCACATGTAAATTTTGAACATTACCAGAAGTGGTGTTCAAACACAAGCAGTACAGTGTTTCCTACCTCTACACTGGGCCAAGCCAAAGCTCTCCACATTCACCAGGACCCTGCAGCAATCTTGCCCTTGACTTTGGGCAAGTTCTTATTAATCTGAACAATGTAGCTCTGTCCTGTTTCTAGTTTTTCTCTTCCTTCTGCCCATGACTGCATTGAGCTACACCCTTTACACATGCAGGATACAGTACATGAAGTGACTTTCCAATGAAAACACACACTGGCTATGGGATGCATTTTGCTTTTTGGATGACTTTAAACTAAACATGATATCATGAGACAAGTCTTGGGTCAGCCTTTGAGGGGCTGCATTGCCCTAAGCACAGTAAAGTCTTCTGGAGCCTTACCTTTTTATGGCTTTGTAGCAAATGATGACAACTACAAAGAGGAACACTAGTGTGGCGCAGCATACTGCAATGATAATAACCAGGCCTGGCCACCAGGTCTCTTCAGTAGGACAAAAGGTAGACTTGGGAGCTGTAAAAAGAGAATGGAAAAATACATTAATTCTCCCAAATCAACAGGGTATTATCAAATATGCTTCAGTTACTTGCGCAACAGTGCTACACCAGGATCACAGATACATGCAAAGATGTTATTTCACATTTAGGACCCATTTCTTTCTTTTCCCCAAGCCATCAATTTCTCTTATTGGTACTAAATATTTATTATCAGAGTCCCAAGATGACCAAGTTCTCTGTGTCAGTGTTATCTACAACCTGGTACTCAGCACAAAGGAGAAAGGCTCAGCTCTGCTACCCGAGGGAAACATCTTCTTCCTCTGCATTCGCCATCTCCAGCTGCATCAGATTTAATTTTACAAAGGGATATTATGCTGATAAGAGCACGTTTTCAAACCCCATTAGGGGAGGTTAGTTGGGAGCCAAAGCAGTGCCTACCAATCTGTATTGTAGCTAATATTACTGTAACCTTGGAGTGAGGAAGGGGGATTTGTTTTAAAAGAATATGAGTTCTATTACATTTACTAATTGATTTTAGAGTATTATAGTTGACAATCTTATTTTCCTTTACACTACCTTTGAATTCTAAGCCCAGTTGTCAAGGTATGTTAACATTAAGAAAAGTTAACTTGTGGAAATATAAGCTATTATTATGATTATATTTTCTTATTATATTTAGGGTTAGAATTGCCTATTTAAGTACCACTCAAAGCAATAAATATTTTGTATCTGGTGACATTTAGTTAAAATATTTTCCTTCAGGGCTATGTTCCTTTTCCCATGCTTTGAGGGGACACATTTCCTGAAGGATGGTGAGTAACAGCCAATGCCTAGAGCAGTATCAGTTTGCAGGGGGAGGAGAGAGCCTAAGCACAGCCTCTGCAACCACATAAATTCCATGGGAATTTTGGTCACCTTAAGTGACATTTAATAATGAATCAGTTGATGGGACTGTCTTTGTCTACATTCTCAACTAAGTAGCTGAGCGAATGAAATATAGCAAAAGGCTCTTTTATGAGTCTCATTGTTTGATATTCTGAATGTCCAGTACACATCACAAATAGCTGCACAAGTTAAAATATATTATCAGTCCAGTATCATTTATTGTGATCTGACATCTCCTCTGAGGAAAAGATACAAAAGATATGCATATCCTTAGATTATCACTCAATAGATTAAACAATGAAAGACACAATTCCCGAGAAAACTTCTTTTTTCCAATTTCAAGATATATAGAGGAGTTGGCAATATTCGCCCCAAGGAGTCTACAGCAGCACCTCAGGAAAAGACTAGGTGAAGACCTTTAAGAAGCAATTAAAGTAATAAACCCAACAGCTTGAAAACAAGTGGTTCCCAGCTTCCTCTTTGACAATGTTCACTTCAAGAGTGCCCCAGCAACTGAATTTCTACTTTATTACTGTGTCAGTTGAGGAAGTCTGCTTTCAGTGGGTGATGGAACTATTTACTGTGTTTTGATAATGCTAATGACTAATATTCTCTGGAAGTTTTCAGTGTTGTTAGATTCCAGAACAGAGTGCATGTCAAAGATGACAAAATGCTTGCATGAAGGAGCAGGCAGTGTCAAGGTCAACTCTACCCTTCTGCTGCTGTCCTGAAAAACACAAAAGGGAGCAGTGAAGTAAAAGGAAAAACATTGATCAGCAGGTGCCATGTAAAATTTGATGAGAGCACAGAAGGTGGGAGAAGTGAGGCTATCCTTCTCTAGCCCTTGTTCTTCTTCAAAGGCAGGATCAACCAAACTAATCAGAAAGCAACATGGTGGTGAGACTGGGCTGCTCCTCAGCACAATAAATGAGACTGACAAATGGCAGAGACAGGATATGAAGCCAGGCTTGTCACATGTCTGTACACCATGCAGTCCTTGATGGTTTGTCACAGTATTTTTCCACAGAGAATAAACAGATATATGTGGGATTGAATAGTAAACATTACTCCTAGATGCAGTCATTAATGACAGAAAAATAAGAATTGCTACTGTGGAAGTGATGTCTAATCCACCTGGCTCAGTTATTTTCCCCATGGTCCAGACTGGACAATCAAAAAGAAGCACAAGAAATCATGCTGGAAGCTACCAAAGCCTGTTCCTTAGTGGCTCGTGGTTTCATACAAATTTAAAAATTACTTTATCTTTCTACTCCTTATTAATGCAGTGCTAATCTTCTTTTCCTTTGAAATGTCCACCCCCTTTTCAATAAGCTCATAGTTCCATGTGTTTTTCTGCCTTTCTCAATATGTGTTCACATAGCCCTCATACCCTGGCATTTCTATGTCTTTAATGCATTTCTCCTCACAATTATTCTCTGAGGAAGAACTGCATTTATTCCCCTTATAACGATGGGAAGTCTAAGCCTGACCATGGATGCTTCCTCTGTGCAGCTGGAAATGTCAGCTGAGAAGGGAACTTCCCAAAGAACCAGTAAGATGCGTGGGAAGAACCCCATCTTCAGAGAGGAGCCTCCTAGTGAGTCCCACACTGAGCTCTTGATGCTGGGGAGGCATTGATGTGCCAGCTCCCTTAGGCTGGGGCTCACAGCTTTCCCTGGGGCTGGGGAGCCTCTCCATCTTGTGCTTGACTCCCACATCCCAGCTTATCACCTGCACCTGGGGAAAAGGGCTGAGCCCACAGGCGTCAATGAGCTGTCATGATGAGAAATTACCCTGGGTGAGGGCACCTGCAGCACCCTCTGGCACTTGGCATGGACAGCAGTGCATTTCACAGGCACTCCCTGGAAGAGCACACACATGGGTCCCAAAAGCTCCTCAGGGGGATACTGGCATCACTACAAAACACACTGAGCAGAAAAAGTCCTACACAACCCATAACAGTGTCAGTGTCCAGTTATTTCATCGTCTTCACCCTTGATGAAGTTCAGGAGAGCAATTCTCCTGGTTGCTTCCTTGTTTGTACCACCTCTTTCAAACACATTATAAAACCCCAAAAGGTGTATATTTCAGAGCCAAATTGTGCCCTTTCCCTTGAGCAAAGAAACACAGACTGCTGTCCCTCACAGAGGTGTACCTGGGGAATGGAGGACACCCCTGCATGCCAGCATTCCCTTTGTCATTCCCACTGGGCTGCTGAGAGGATTCTGTGTGATGCTGGGGTTATGAAACTATAAAGCTACACAGAGTAAGTGTGGCACACATAAATTGAGTTAAAAGCCAGAGAGCTGGTATGTCTCAAAATCTAACTATAAATGGAAAGTCATTGCTGGAAGAATGTGGTTTTTAACAGTGACCTCCCTCTTCAGCCCCCAAAATAGGGTGATGAAACTGATACAGTTTGCAAATGACTGGGGAATGCATTCAACCACAAATGGAGACAAACATATTTAGATTAGAAATAGGGTAATTATAATCATTAAGGATAATTAGTCCTTACCATAGTCTATCATTTCTGGCTGAGTATTTAAACAAAAAACTTAGTTTAAGGTAGCCTTTTTATTTTTACTTTAAGAGGTCTAAATTCAGCTAAAGAGATTGGACTCAGTATAAGACTTGAATAAGTAAAGAAAATGCTCTGGCTCTGGAAAGTCCACATGAGTACAATGCCTTTTATCTCTTGGCTTTAAAATTTATGAAGTACAAATGTTGGTTAGGTTTACTTTTAGAGGTCTATCACCTTCTCCTATTCCCAATGGCACCAGGCTTAAATAAATACAATGAGCAAATAAACCCATTTCAGCCCTGTAGTGGGTAGATGGATCCAACTTATTAAAAACAAATTAACCAAAAAGTGCTTTCAGATCAAACTGTTCAATATCACAAAAAAATCTTACATCTGCTTTTTTGACTAAATTTGTTTTGAAGACTCAGCATAAAGACACAGCTGTGACTCTAATGTTAGAAGGTATCTGTACACAGCTGGCTCTAGCCAGAAATGTGCATACCAGAAGAGATTAGCTCAGCTATTGAGAGTTTCCCTCAATGTCTAGGCACAAAAATAAAGGTTCTATCACTGGAAATAATGTTTCCATAAAATTCCCAATAAATTCTCTGATATTTTTTGATCAGACCTCAGTGGTCATTCTCAAAATTGCTCTGAGCTTCCAACAAAAAACTGTGATGAAGCTGTTTAAATCTTCCGGGTTAAGCATTAAACAGTTTTGTGTATGTTGTAAAAGCAATACATATACTGCCTGAGACGGAATCTAGAAACAGGACTTTGAATCCTTGGACACACCATCAGGTTATCTTTAGTGGTCATGGCTGTAGTTTATAAAGCTCATAATTTCAAAATCTAATGCTCCCATAATTTATTTTGATTAGTGTTATTACTTTCCATTACCATATGGGTTTTAGGCTAATTGCTCTTTGCATGGGCATGCTGGGACATTAACAAGTAACACAACCAAGGCTGTCAGGAGGCAGAAAGGGCTCTCTGAGGGGGGCCACGCTGAGCTGGTGCCCCTGAGCTGCTCTTGGCAGTGATGCTGAGGCAAGGAGCCTGCACCAGGGCATCCCTTCCCACTGCCAATCCCCAGCAGCCAGCTCTGCAAAGCAATGAAAAACAAAACAGAATAAAGCAAAACAAAGCAAAAAACCCAAACCAAGCCAAAACCAAAGACAGGGATGAGCTGGAAAATAGCTAAAGGAGGCAGTGGCCCATGCTCCCACATGTAATCCCGGGGAGGTGTCTCCAGTGGAGTCTGTCAATTCACTCACAGACTGAGACCCAAGCAGCTGGTGAGTGTCCACTGATGTGATGGGGAAGGGTGACAGTGACCCCCATCACCTCTCTACAACAGCAACTTCATGCCCAAAAAAAGGAAGAGCACTTTCAAGATAAATCAAAACTGATTATTGTTTTTCTTTTGCTCTTACTCCTATTCTTACAGAAAGGTCAAGAGTGCTGTCGTAATCATCCTTATGAGACATCTGCCTGTTTTTAATATTGTATACTCACAACAGGCTAAACCCTGCCATCTCCATGCCTGCAGCATTTCTCTTGCTATTGTAAGGCTGCCTGAATCAGCCATGCACTTTTAATTAGCA